ACGATAAAAAGACTCAAGGAAAAAGGACTAATACTGGTAAGATAGTCAAATAAGATAAAAAAAAAGTAATGATAATAAAGAAGAAGGAAAACCAAAGCAAAGGAATGGAACAAATTCTAATAGCATTTAACTCAAGAAAAACTTCCTTAAAAGAAAAAATTAAGCTATTTAAGAAAATCATACCAGGGATCTGAAGCACTATCACCCAGAAGAAATAAATCAAGAACATATTCTAGTAAAATCACTGACTTAAACAAAAGAAAAAGAAATCCTTTGGTATCAAGGCAACAAGAGTATGCCATGTTATAAGGAAAATTAAATTGGGCTTGTCAAGAATACTCTATGCCAGAAGCAATGGAGTAATAGATTTAAAATACTTAAATGTATCCAAGCTCATTATATTCAGTAAAACTAACCTTCAAATATAAAGGAACAAAAAAGCCATATCAACATGCAAAACTTAGCGACTATTGTCCTCATGAGGGCATTTCCTGGGAGAAATTCATCTATTCTATTAACTCGAGACATGGAGTTCAGATAACAAAACAACTTAAAGAGGACGAAGACATTTAAGGACTGGTTGGTGAGCATTATATGAACAGTTATTTATGAAGAAAACTAAATGAGGACAAAAGGGCTCTGGCAAATGTATTATGGTTGTACTTACGAAGGGGGGTAAATAGGAGACAGCAGATGCAAATAGTTTTTAACTAAACAATTATAATTATATTGGTATTGGGTGAAACTAGTAATTGTTATTCTGAGACTATTGTATGTATATATGTGGAATTAAAGCAAATGAGTAATTAGGGATATGCTAAATTGTATCTTCCCCTATGCCTCTGAAAGCCAGGATTCTTGGTTTGCAGGAAGAGAGGAGATACATATTGTAATATAAAAGAGGTTAATAAAAAAACCTATATTTCTGAACTAACAATAGGACACAAAATGAACTCCTGGAGGATTTGTATCTCAGGGATAAAATCTATCCACTGAAAGGCCAGAGAACAATGACCAATCCAGTAGCAATGAACATTCCTAACATGCATTATGGTTAAAAGATCTGGCCAACTTCAGGTCTAATAGAAATGTATTAGACCCTAGAATTATATTGTCATACCAGGTTAGCAAGGCAACCACCAAAATCCTATGGTCCTGGCAATGCTTAAAAAGTTAAACGTAGTTAAACTTAAGGACCCAGCAATCTACTTCTAGGTATATATCCCAGAGAAATGAAAATATAAGTCCACACAAAAAACTGGTAAAAACAAATTTAACAGCCCAAGGTGGAAACATTCTCAAATTGCCATCAACTGGGTGGTAACAAAAATGTGGTATACTATCAATTGGGTGAGTAAACAAAATGGAATACTATTCAGCATTAAAAATGGAATAGCGACACAAATGCTACAACATGGAAGAACCTCAAAAACATTATATTAAGTGAAAGAAACCAGATAGAAAGACAACACATTGTATCATTTCCATTTATATTAAAATGTCCAGAATAGGTAATTCTTATAGAAACATTGAAGTAGATTAGTGGTTGCCAGGGGCCTAGTAGGAGAATGGAGAGTACTATAATGGGCTATAAGATTTTTGTTTCGTTTTTGGGATTATTTTGAGTAATGGGAAACATTCTGGAATAGATAATATGCGATGGTTGGCACAACTCTGTAAAATGACCTCTAAATTTTAAATAATAAAATGGGTGATTTATGGTTCTGTAATATCCAAAAAGCTTAAAAAGAAAAAATATAGCAGGTACGTGCGTTCACACCTGTAATCCTAGCATTTGGGGAGGCCGAAGTAGGGAAGACTGCTTGAGGCAAGAATTTAAGACCAGCCTACAGCAAATAGCAAGACCTCTATTTCTACAAAGAAAATAGAAAATTAGGCAGGTGCGGTGTGCACGCCACCTATAGGTCCCAGCTATCAGGAAGTTGATGGGAGATCCCTTGAGTCCAGGACGTTTGAGGTTTGCAGACACCAGCTGCACTCTAGCCCAGGCAAAAGAGCAAGAAACCATGTCTCAAAAAAATCACCAAAAAAAGAAATAAGAAAGTTTACTGCTATAAAAGTCAGCATGAGTGGTTACTTTGAGAGGGAGGGTGCTGGTGACTGGGGACAGGAACATATGGGGGTTAGCTGTCAATACTATTCTTACTTTGGTG